ATACTCTGGTAACAATGAGCACACCCAGCACCTAGATTTTTATTTCTAAATACCACTCCTCTCTGAAAAGAACCAGGGCTGTTTGGAGAAATTTATGATTCCAGGACTGGGGCAAAGATGAGCCTGGAATATCCACATACTGTGCTAGAAAGTATTGAAATACTCAAAAAATAAGAAGGACATGTCAGATTAAACCTAAGATGGCGGAATAGGAAACACTGTGCTTGCCTCCTCTCATGACCACATCAAAATTACAACCAAACATAAAACAACCATCACTGAGAATCATCTGAAGTCTAGCTGAACAGAAGTCCTACAACTAAGGACATATACAGAAGAAGCCACATTGAGACTGGTAGGCAGGGCAGACCCAGAACAGGCTGGTCCCACACCCCTGCATATGACTGTTAAAAATCAGGAGGGATATCTTGGCAGCAGAGGTCCCTACTGAGGAATGAAGGGTCCCAGACCCACACCGGGCTCCCCAGCTGAGGATTCCAGTGCTGAGAAGAGGAGTCCCCATAACTTCCGACTGTGAAAACCAGCAGAGATTGTGGCTGAGTGAGATAGAGGGCAGCTGCAGTCCCAGGTGCTCCTCTTAAAGCTACCGCGCACAGACTTACTCACTGATGGACTCACTCACTCTGAGCTCCAGCGCTGGAACAGCAGCTTGAAAGATGGGGAGGAACTGAATTGTCTGTGGGATCTATGGGGAGGAACTGAATTGTCTGGCTTCAGAACAAGAGCTAGAGGGGAAGGTTTTTCCCAGATAAAAGTACTGGCAGATCCCATTATTTCTTTGTTGAGCCCTCCCTACTCCCTCCTGGTGTGCAGACGCAGGTAGCTGCCATATCTGAGTCTCCATCAATCTGGCTAACACTGTTCACTTCACCTTGGTGATTCCCTGAGACCACGCCCCACCCAACTTGCAGACCCACCCAAGCCACTTCTAGTGGCTTTTCCATACAAACAGCCTGTCTTGGCTCATGTTGCAGGCTTGCCTAAAACCTCTCAAAGGTTCACAAACCCCAAACAAGCAGCATTTGGCCTCGGATTGTCCCATACGTCTTGCTGAGCAGCCCCAAACCTGGCACTACTGGCAGCTGGCCTCAGTTCACAGCTCAGCCTCACAGGGCATCCCCAAGCACAGCGTGGGTGGCTGCCATCTGCAGATTGCTTTGTGGCTCACACCAGGTGGCCCTGGGCAGAGCACAGGCTGTGGCTGAACTTGGCCTGTGGCAGAGCCCCTCCCAGGAGGCCCCAGGGCCGGCACTCCCAGGGGCAGGCGTCTGACTGAGCTGGAGCACCACCCAGCCACATTCAAGGACAACACACTCAAAGGGCAGACTGGGCAGGAAGCGAAGCCCTGCTAAATCGAATCCAGCCCCATAGGGTCAGCCCCTGCACAGCAGATCCTCCACTGTAATCACAGCTAAGCCACACAACCAATCAGCTGAAGGGTCAATCCCTCCCATTAACATGCAAACAGCAACCAAGTCTCAACTATAACAGGAGGGCACACACAAATCACACAAAGGACACACCTGGATCACCTGGTTCGCATGACCAGGGAGACTGTGCCACTGGGCCCCACAGGACACCTACTACATAAGGCCACTCTACTAAGGCTGGGAGGCATAGCAGCTCTACATGATACATAGGAAGGAAGCCAAAATGGAGAGACAAAGAAACAAGTCCCAAATGAAAGAACAGAACAAAGCTCCAGAAAAAGAACGAAATAAAATGGAGACAAGCAATCTACCACATGCAGAGTTCAAAACACTGGTACATTAGATGAAACAGAGGATCAAATCAGGGGTTTAAAAGAGAAGGTAGCAGAAAACACCCAATCAGAACAGCAAAAAAAAAATTTTTTTTCTAAAAAAGAGGAGTTTAAGGGACCTCTGGGACACCATCAAGTGTAACAACATTCACCTGATTGGGGTACCAAAAGGAGAAGAGAGAGAGCAATGAATTAAAAACCTATTTGGAGAAATAATGACAGAAAACTTCCCTAACCTGGTGAAGGAAATAGACATGCAAGCCCAGGGAGCACACACAGAGTCCCAAACAAGATGAACCCAAAGAGGCCCACACCAAGACACATCATAATTAAAATGGCAAAGGTTGAAGACAAAGAGAGACTCTTGAAAGCAGCAATTACCTATAAAGGAGCTCCCATAAGACTGTTAGTTGATTTCTCAACAGAAACTTTGCAGGCCAGAAGGGATTGGCACAAAATATTCAAAGTGATGAAAAGCAAGGACCTACAACCAAGACTACTCTACCCAGCAGAGCTATCATTTAGAATTAAAGGACAAATAGTTTCCCAGACAAGAAAAAACTAAAGGAGTTCATCAACATCAAACCAGTATTACAAGAAATGTTAGAGGGACTTCTTTAAGAAGAAGGAAAAAAAAATATATGAATAATAAAATGGCAATAACTACATATCTATCAACAATCACTTTAAATGTAAATGGATTAAATACTCCAATCAAAAGATAGGGTGACTGAATAGATAAGGAAAAAAAAACTTTATACATACTGCAAGAGACTCACTTTAGATTGGAAGACACACACAGACTGAAAGTAAAGGTAGGGAAAAAGATATTTCATGAAAATGGAAACAAAAAAAATTTAGGAGGTAGCAATACTTCTACCAGACAAAATAGACTTTAAAACAAAAGGCTATAAAAAGAGACAAAGAAAGACCCAGTAATCCCACTTCTGGGTATTAATCCAAAGAAACCAAAAACACTACTTTGAAGGGACAAATGCATCCATATGTTCATTGCAGCATTATTTATAATAGCCAAGATATGGAGGCAACCTGGTTGTCCATCAATGGATGAATGGATAAAGAAGAGGTGGTACATTTATATAATGGAATATCACTCAGCCATAACAAAGAATAAAATTTTGCTATCTGCAACAATATGGATGGACCTAGAGAGTATTGTGTTGAGTGGAATAAGTCAGACAGAGAAAGACAAATGCCATATTATGTCACTTGTATGTGGCATCTAAAGAACAAAATAAATAAGACAGAAACAAACTCATAGATACAGAAAACATTGTAATGGTTGCCAGCTGAAAGGGGGTTGGGAAGTGGGTGAAAAGGTGAAGGGATTAAGAAATACAAATTAGTAGTTATAAAGTAGTCACGGGGGTGTAAAGTATAGAATAAGGAATATAGTCAATAATATTGCAATAACTATGTATGGTGGCAGGTGAGCACTAGACTTATCAGGATGATCACTATATAAGTTATATAAATGTCTAATCACTATGTTGTACACCTGAAACTAATAGAATATTGTATGTCAACCATAATTAAAAAGTAAAATATTATTAAAAAAAAGAAAAAAATGAATGTGTCAAATGGGCAGAGAAACTGCTATTGGTCAGCTTTGGCACCATTTGAATACAAAACTGAATAATGACAGAAGTAAATTATTACCCACTGAATACAAAAAAATACACAAGATCACATTGATACTTTTTAAAAACCTTAAAGGAGGTAGTAGAAGGGAAATCTCTTATTTAGAGGAGGGTGCCAACTAATAAACATAGAATGATACATATGAAATATACATAGGAAGCTTTGAGACTAGGAAAATATCCTGTTCCCGGTTTTTCACCCAGTGAATTTGTTGGCCATTCTTGTCTGTTTCCAGTTTTAGGCTAATGTGAAAAAAGCTACTATAAAAATTCATATAGAGATCTTTGTATGGACATATGTATTCATTTCTCTTGAAGTAAACACCTAAAATTAAGATTGCTGGCTCACATTGTAAGTGTATATTTAACTTTATAAGCGACTACAATACCATCTCACACATACTCCTGCCCCGATCCCGGTTCTAGGATCATACACTGCATTTTGTTCTTATCTCTTTAGCTTTCCAGGTATAATTCGAGAGAAATGAGAATATATACCTCCTCTGAAAGACTTGTACAATCATGTTCAAAGCAGCACTATTTGTTGTGAACTCCAAACTGGAAGCAACCCAAATTTTCACCAACAGTAAGATGGATAAAGAAATGTCAATATAATTATAACAATGGAATATTATGCAGCAATGAAAAAAACTAATATCACATATAACAATATAGGCAAGTCTCACAAACAATTTTGAGTGAAAGAAGCCAAAAGGCCAAAACAAGAACCTACTGATGATTCCATTTATATAAAGTTTAATAATAGGCAAAATGAGAATACAGTAAAACCTTGGATTGCGAGTAACTTGGTTTGTGAGTGTTCCGCAAGACGAGCAAACATTTCTAATACATTTTAACGTGGTAAACAAGCGATGTCTTGCGATACGAGTAGTTTGTTGCCAGAATTAATTATCCTCCCAAACCAAGGTATTACTGTATAGTGGAGGAAGTCAGAAAAGTGCTTCCCTGTGGGGGCAGTGGCTGAGAGGGGTGCATAAGAGGTTTCTGAGATGCTGACGATGATCTAAATCTAAGTGATGCTTATGTGGATGAACTCCCTTTGTGAAAACCTATCAAGCTGTACATTTATGATGACTGCACCTCTCTGTATAATTTGTTTTATTCCAATATAAAAAAATTTAAGAGTAAGCCCTGATTCCAAAACTGAACAAAAAGAAGACTGAAATTTTTTGAGTTAATTTTAAACCTTAGCTTTCAGACATCACCTTTATTTTCTGACTTCCCAAGCTTTGGGGGAAAACTTCTCTGTGATCAAACCAACATGTCTAAATGACAATAGTCGGGATGGAAAATGTGCAGGGACAAAGGCACTTGGAGGCTCTGTGTTGGGTGTACTTTGGCACACCTTCTATGGAAAGAAGTTTGACAATACACACCAAGACAATTAAAAAGAAATATATGCTATTTTATCCAGTAATTTCCTTCTAGGAATTTATCCTAAATCAACCACTCAGTCAAATATTTATGAATATGATATAAATTAAGACATTAAAAAATTTTTTTAGAAAAGAAAATCCTTTGAAGGTAATACTTACAATTGGTGTCCCAAAAGGAATGTAACCTGTGAGAGGAGAGCAAAAAGTCTGATCTTATAATCCCACCCACTCTGCCCCACCCACCTGTCAATTGAGATCAGAAGAGACTTCTGGTCTTGGTCTTGACAGTGATCCCGAGGAAGGGGCTCAGGTCAGTTAGGCAGGAGGCACTTCCAGTCCCCAGACGTTTTCCCAGCTCAGACTTCCCCAGGGCAGAAGGCTCCCCTGGGTCTCCCAGTGTCCCTCTCTCTTTTCCCCTTTAAACAGTTCTCACTCCCCTCCAAAACCCAGAGGTCCATTCCTGAAGGCAGGGCTGCCTACTACTGGGGCACCACCCTCTAGTCTTGGTGGTCCTCCCAGGATTTCCTCTGTGAGGCACAATACCCCTGCCCACACATACCACAATGTCTTCAAAGCCCCCTGAATGTCATCTCAGCTTGCCTTTCTAGCGTATACTCTTCCTTTCCCGGCATCATGACCACTACTGGAAAGGAAATTCCCTCCCCACCTGAGATGTGTACTTCTAAGTGCCAGCTCTTTAAATCTCTAGTACCCTGGCCAGACATCCTCAGTAGAGCAGGACAAAGTTGGCATGAGGTGCAGCTCGGTCCTGGGTACCATTTCCTCACTGCTCACGGCCCCTAGACTATGGCAAGTCTCCCTCCGCCTTCTCCACTGCTGTTATTGGGTAGCCTCCTGCCACCAGCCTCTAACTTATGGCAACGGATGGCTGGACAGCAGCAAACTACGCGCTTCTCTGTGTTACGCCTGAAAGGCCGTGCCCCGGGGGTGTGTAATTGTGCGTGCACATGCGCTATCACTCTTTTACCCGCATCCCTCTGGAGGGAGGTCTAAAGTTTGATGGGAGAATTACGAGGGAAGCCAGGCTCAGGGTGAGAGCCTGCTATGGTCCTGTGCAGGGACTGGGGGAGCACCCACAGCCATGGCTTCGAGATGCTCAGAGCCTTCAGTGCCGTGGAATTCCTCACGGCAAAGCAAGGGCGTCATTGGGCACTAATTGCCCAGTTTGCACGGGCATGTCCCATGGTTGTTGATTCTCTCGCCCCCATGAAGTCAGGCTCTCTGGGGGTGGAGACCCTGACTGACTTACCCAACTGAGAACACCCACCGGTAGAAACCCTTTCTCTAGCTGCCTGAGCACTCCTGAAGGCAGCTGCCAGTAGCCCTCCGACCTGCCCTGTAACTCAGGGTGGTACACCCCACTGCACTGAGAAATGGCATGGAGGAGGCATCAGCACAGGTGTGCGTCTGACCTCTGCTATGTGACTCTGGACAAGGCCTGTGGCCCCACAGGATAACCACGCCAGCCCCGCCCAGCCAGTGTGTGTGCAAGTGCTTTCTGGGCTCTGACTCCTAAGTACAGAGCTGTCCCTCTAGTGACCACAGGGTGGGGGTTTCCTGGGGGCAGGGACTTACACCCACTCTCCCACTCCCGTCTCTGCCCACTGGTCTCCACAGGATGGGCATCCGCTGTCCCTGTGCGTGTAGTAGAGAAAATGCAGCACAGACATTCTGAAGGGCAAGGTTAAAGCAGGGTCAGGACCCAGGGCGTTAGTCTGGGGATTAACTGCCTGACAGGGCTGAGCAGAGAGCAGGGCCTGGAAAAAGGGCGCAGTGTGCACAGGTAGGAGAGGAATGACTCACAGAAGGCACAGCTTGCCCCTAGCAAGTGTCACCCCTGAGGCTACTGCTAAGTGAGTGATGGGTAAGCTGGGGGAGGGGGCACAGGCAGTCACATGGGAAGGCCTCTTCTCCCCTCACACCTGCTCAGGAAGGAAAGGCAGACAGGCACATTGTTTAAAAGCTCCGTAGGCGATTCTGAGGCCTGGCCTTGAGCCGAGGTGAGCGTGCAGGTGCAAGTGTGGCCGTGTGTGTAACAGGCTCTGTCCCCTCCTCAGGCTGGCACATCTGGAAGGTCCTGAAGCGATGACCATAGTAAGCGGCCCGGTCGGGGCAGAAGCAGAAGGTCCCGGGGGCTTACCTGACATTCTAAAGGGCATGAAGATCTTCTCATTGGTGTCCGGGTGTAGAATAGCCTGACAAGAGCCGAGAACAGAGCACAAGGTGACAGTGGGAGAGGGGGGAGGGGCCTGGGAGACGGGGAAGGAGAGCTGCCCCAGGATGACTCAGTGGACCAGTGGCTGCATCTTGCCTTCTGGCTGGTCAGTCCTTTCCTACTATTCAGGGCAAGAGAAAACCAAACCATGGCCCCCCAAAAGCACTGATCCTCTGACAAACGCTCAAAGCTGAATGCAGGGGAGGGTGGGACTGTGTCTACCTTGTAGGCCCCCCGAACCCCCATGCCTGGCACACAGTAGGCTGTAATAAGGCTTGTGGGCAAGGAGCTCACGGGGCCCAGGGAAAGGCGAGCTGGCCTGAGCTCCGGTCCGCAGAAGCTCAGGCCCTGGGTTCTGGGGAAGAAGGAAGGGGTGAGGCAGCCAGGGGCAAAGGGGGCAGGAGAGGTTGGGAACACAACAGCAAAGGATCCCCAGGACAGGGCAGGGCAGGGTCCAGGAGAGCACAGAGGAGGGAAGGAAAAGAAGCCAAAAATGGATTACCTGCTTGATTTTCTGTGCACTCCAGAGCTAGAAGGAAGGGAGAGAGGGAAAAAAAGGAAAAAAATTAAAGCACATATCAATTTCAGGTATCAAAAACCACATATCAATTTCAGGTATCCAACTCCAAAGGGCATAAGAGGCTCAGGCTGTCCTGGTCACCCCAGGTCTGGCAGCTACCCTAGGGGTGTGGCATCAGGGACCCCAGAACAGCAGAGCTAAGGACTCTCATGCAGATCAATTAAACTAAGGGTTCTCAGCTCTGGCTGCTTTAACATTACTTGATAATTCTTCAGGCATTTTCCTAAAGCTTCCGAGCTGATTCTAAGGTACTACCAGGTAAGAAGCCCCAATTTAAATGAAGATCCTTCAGCTGTTTCCTTGAATCACTAGAGGCAGCACAGCATGATTTTTTTCAGAGCTAAACAGACTGCCTCAAGCCTGGTTTTCTCACTTCTACCTCCAAACCTCAATTTCCTCATCTGTAGAATGGGAATAATAGCTATACCTCTAACATTATTGAAGAGGTATATGAAAAGTGCCTGGAGCAGCTCTGGGCACATAGTAAGTGTTTTATAACTGCTTACTGCTGTAGATGCTATTATTCCTATTGTTGTTGCTATAAGAAGGTTGTAGGGAGAAGAAAGGTGCTTCCAAATGAGTGATAAAGTTGTCTCTTTCCAGCACAGCGTGGAAGACAGACTAGAGAAACAGAACAACATGTCAATTCCTTCAAATGATATAAATACTGTATTTCATGGAATCTAAGACACACTACTATGTGCCACTAAGAAAGAAAATGATAACATAATGCCAAGACCACCATCAGTAAAAAGACTCATCCCATTTAAGAGATGTTAAAATGTGACAAAACAGGCCTTTCAGAATCAAGAAAATACAGTAAATACAAATTTACATTGTGGGCAAACCAGAGGCCAGAGCAGTTTTAATGGTGCAAGCAGAGTAAGAGGTGAGAGGGAAGATGTGGCCAGGAGTCGATGTTTCAAGTTTATAAAAGAAAAGTTCAGCTATGCTTCATTTATATGGCAATGTTGTGGCCTGGAATGTAAATTAAGCTGCAGAATGCTACTGGGTAGTAAAAATAGAAGTTATAAAATTGATATATTAAAGTTTATGCATTTTACTCACAGCAGAGCCCCCCAAGCCTTAATTCACAGCCTAATTACTCTTATTTTAGATACATTTCAAACATATTTTATTGTCTGCTATTCCAGGAAGATTGGAAGCAGTAGATCTTTAAAAAATAATAATTGGGGAACAGAAGGGACTGAAGAGAGAAAAACCAAATGCGGAATCACTGTCAGCCTGAGGAGATAAGTGAGAGCATACAGCAAAGACATTAAAAAAAAAAAAAGGTAAAAGATTGACCCTTCTTTGCTCAGAAAGTGCCTTCCTTAGGGGCACCGCCCAGGTCCCAGCATCATCCTAGATGCGACCCAGGACTGTGCAGACTCCTGACACCCCACGCTCTCCTTCCCGAATCAGAACCCTCCATTTCTGGGCCCCCCACCCTGTAGATGCACGGTCTAGCCTTTCAGGGCCGCCCCCTTGCAGCTCCCACAGCATCAGGCACACAGCAACTCTAAAGCTATTCTAAAATTACATTTTTATTTTAAAAAACTCAAGATTTCTTCATACAATTCTTTAAAAAAAAAAAAATCCCTCATCCTGATTCTGATGAACAGCCAGAGCAGAAAACACTGGTCTAAGATCTCAAAGGACAGTGTGAAGAGCCGGTGTTAGAGCCAGGCAGGCCTGTGTTCAAATCACTTACTGGAGGTGCGGGCCTGGGCAAACTACATTGCCTCTGGGCCTCAGTTTCTGCATCAGTAAAATGGGTTGTTGTAAGGGTAGGGCAGAGACCATGCTTGGTGCTCTCCAGCAGTTTGCATTTCCCTTCGGGCACACAGCTAACCTTACACTTCCCAACCTCCCCCCAGTCAGGTGGCTGCTCACGTGACTGGGTGCTGGCTGATGGGCTGTGAGAGGAAGTGATGTTCCGCACTTACAGGCTGGCCCCAAAGCCTCCCACAGAGAATCTAGTGGAGGATAGTGCGGCCCTAGAAGATGGTAAGCCTGTGAGGTGAAAGGAGCCTGGTCCCTGGACGATGGCACATGCCAAGTGCCCGAGCTGCACTGGACTCTGACATGAGTGAGAAATACACCTTCCTGTAGAAGTCCCTGAAATCTCGGTGTTGTTTGTTAAAGCACTTGGCTTACCCTGATGAATGCAGAGATGTAAATGAGATATGCATATCTAAAATACTTGGCCCATAGAACATGCTCCACAAAGGCCTTAAAATAGAGGGACAGTCATTCAAACAAGCAATATTTTTTTAATGGACTTATTTTTTAAAGTAACTTCACTTTAATTGTCTTATTCCTACAGCATGCCTGTGAGGTGGGTAGATTATTTTCAAACAAAGTCATTTATCTCAGAGGGACTAAGTGACTCAGCAGCCAGGGTGCCAGGGGCCTGGTGGCAGGATGGACATGGGCACCCAGGCCTCCTGGCTTCCGGGCTTGCCTTCCTGCTCGTCAGGGGCCCCCTGGACCAGACTGATGTCTGGTCTGGCCAGGGTGGCTGCCAGCGCTGTGGCATGAGTGGAGGAAGAGAATAGGCTGACCTTCTCCTGAGCGCCCAGAATCTCCCTGCAGCCTGGTAGCAGACGCGCCTCACCAGTACCTGTTCCTCCCCTCTCTCCAAAGCCCAGCCAGGCAGAACTTGTAATCCATGGCGGCTTCTGTGTCCCTCAGGTTTAAGGACTGCCTCCTCCACCTCCGCCCAGGGAGCAGCCATGGAGAGTTGCTGGCTCATCAGCAAAGGCAGAAGTTGAGCAGGGGTGTCAGCAGGCAAAGCCAGGAACCCAGAGCTCACAGCCATGTTCCCCATCCTGCAGGGACAGCACCACACACGTGGCCCAGGCAGGCTGGTGCCGCACATAAGGGGCAATGGTAAAGACTGAATGAGAGATAATACCATGCTTTTCTATTTTGCTGAGCATTTCCCTACAGCAGCACTGGGATTGGAAGCCAGGCAGTCTGGTTCCAGAATCCCCACTCCTAACTACCACATGTATCCATCTCTAAATGCTGGCACACGGATGCACACTGTTCTGTCCCTTTAGGCATCTACTGTATGTTGTAGATCTCTCTACATCTGCACACAGACAGCAGTCTATTCTTCCTAGTAGAAACCTTGAATGAATATATTGTAAACTGTACCTTATTGGTCTTTTAGGCTATGTCCCATCTTTTCTTTTCTTTTCTTTTCTTTTCTTTTCTTTTCTTTTAAGATTTTATTGGGGAATTGGGGGAGGGGAACAGTGTTGAGAAATTGGGGAAGGGGAACAGCCAAGTCATTGTCCTTCAATCTTAGTTGTGGAGGGCGCAGCTAGCTCAGCTCCAAGTCCACTCGCCATCCGGCCGCCCGTCGGCAGCTCAGGGCTGCTCAGCTCAAGGTGCCATGTTCAATCTTAGTTGCAGGTGGAGCGGGGGGGAGGGGTGTACAGCCCATCATCCCATGTGGGAGTCAAACTGGCAACCTTGTTGTTAGGAGCACATGCTCTCACCAGCTGAGCCATCCTGCCACCTGTTGGCAGCTCAGCTCGGGCGCAGCTCACTGGCCCATG